CGACAAGCAAGGGGGTACTGAAGACATATTCTAACCCGGATCCCCACGCGTCAATGAAGTGTATTTATTTAAATTCTATCTTTTAAAAAGGACATGATCTAGAGTAATAGACACCTGCTTTCATCTGCATAAGAATGAAGGATGAAAAACATTTAACGTATACTATTCATAATAACAAGCATTTTATTGAGCACTCAGGTCACGTATTGAATGTTATGATGAAATACATTGATATTGAACTTTGAACATATTATAAAGCAACACCCAAAGTAGTTGAAAGTAAATGGCATAACAACCACTTATGAACTACATGTATACATGATTAATTTTATGTATTAACATAAGTCCCTAATCACATCACGATTCCAAACAAAAACTTGTTTAGTCTAATTATTTTGCTGCATTCTCCATAAAACCAAATTTTAAGTGTTATATCTCTTAAAACAAACTACCACAGAGTCTAAAGCATTTGTTTCTTTCATATTTAGACATTTTACTAGAATGATTTGTATGGTAACTTTACAAGATTTATGATAGAGTGATGCCTTTATTAACATTGCATCATCAATTTCCCTTATTTATGTAGCAATTCAGGCGTATACCATTATAATTTGCATTTTGAGTTGATGCCTCAAAGCATTCTCTACGACTGAAAAAATTCTAAAACGAGACAAGCATTCGACAAACAAGTTGATGAAACAATACTAGTAATATCAACAGTTTTGTTTGCGGTCTTCATTTTGCATTTTTCGTAGTTTGGACAAGATGCCAATTTACATTCTTTAAGTATTTAAAACAAAGTCTTGACATTTTGTATAAAACTTATCAATGAAAATGGTGGGCTATATTTGTACTAAAAAATTAATATTCTTCTTGCTGCTTGAAGGGATGTGTTTGGTCACCATTGAAACCTAACCCCTACTCTGTTTTCATGGGTATGACTTATATTTGCTCATAATCGGGTTTCTTTAATGAACTTTGTTAACATGATCACTGTTTGCTATTTATATCTCTTACTGTGTGCATCGTAAATATCCTCATACTTTCTTCGCACACGAAACGTGGGAAAAACAATCTTTACTATAAGGGAAAGCCTTTTCTCTCCTTCATAGCACCAGACTCTACCACTGTTTGTTTTATTCCTGATTTGTATTGTACAAATAGACTTTTAAACTTGAATACAATAGGTTTATACTTCTCAACGCAATCAGTCGAATTCAAAACATCTACGAAGGGAAAATATGAAAAGGCTATTAAAACTGTTTAAAACTTTTAAGTAGTTTTTAAACTATGACAAGGAGGTATTTAACCTTATAACTTTTAATTTCTCTCTTCCTGAGGATCTTAAATGAGTGCTTGTACAGTAAAATGCCAAAATGTTTTTCCTTGAAAAATATCTATATCTCATTACATGTTATTGGCTCAGATATAAACTTTTGAATAGTTTGCTAAGTCAGGGATGCGGAAACAAATCATGACTATTTCCGCATACTATGAATAATCTCTTAAGTTTTAATCAAATAACACTATGCACAAAATACATGTATGCTTATGTGAATTTAATTTATAAATAAAGATTTAGCAAATATACCAATGCTCCTTGTCCACAAGTTATTGAAACGAGCAAAGTTCAGAAGTCATACTAAAACCTCGGAATGTTTTTTCTTGCATAACTATATTATACTTGCAATATCCTCTGTTAATTTATTTTCAAAGAATTTGAAGTTCCTAAATGAAAAATATTTGCCAAGGCACATTATGATGTGAATAATTCATTATAACATGTGAATAGACATTTTCTTAGCACTTATTACTTGCACCAAGAAATACATTGTACATGATTGAACTATGATACTATTTTTTTTTCAAATCTAGAACGTTACGGAAATTGGCTTCACTACCATGAAGAATAGCTTCTAAATTAAAATCTTTTTAAATCTAAAACGTTAAAAACAAATGTTTAAATTGAAATCTCTTCAACAGTTTTGGCACTATAACGAGAGGTGTGGATATATAATAGTACAGTACATGTATATTGATAATAATGTCAGAGGCCGTAATAACAAAGTAAAAAAAATAATAAAAGCATTGGTGGAAAATTGTACCATAGTATTGTATACTTTTTCTTTAGTTACTCAATGATATCATTATAAAAATGAAGTTTTTTCGATAGATTAATATTTTATATAACTATATTTTTTAAAACATTAGAAGTATTACTCGAACATTATGAAATGAATAACACGTTTAAAATCATTTGAATGAATCTAAAAGAGATTTTGAGCATCCTCATATAAAAAATTCTGAAGTAAAGTTTTAATCTATATTAAAGTACCAATAGATTTGATATGAATTTGATATGCCTGCATTATTGAAAGAATTGCTTCAGTAGTTATAAACACTTCTGTCTTTTGTTCTAATATCGGACTGTCTCAGGTAAATCAAAAGCAATATTTTAAGTACGATATATGCCTCATACAATTCTGTATTAAAAATATCAGACAGTGCATGTTCGGCCCAAACTCTTTTTCAAACACCAGAGAAAGGGGTTGAAATACTTCTCCAATTTTAATAAGTTTATTAGAAGTTTACCCGTTTTTTGTGGGTTTTTTTTTTATTTGCAATATTTGGTCTGCCACATGTTCTTCTTCCTGTTACAGTAAATTCGGTGTAATTGAAAATTTAATATTTTTTTTTTAATTTTGCAATTCTTCAATGTGAGAAATTTAAACTGCTGTTTGTTAAATTATCACTCCTTTTATTTCTTTTGTTCAGTAGCAGTCCAATTTTGAAGGATATCAGTACTGAGACAGTCTGATATTACGATTAATATCAGACTGCTCACTAATATCGGACTGCCACAGGTAAAATTTTAGACTGCAAGATCAAAGGAATGACATGACAGCAATGTTTTAAATTAAAAATAATAATCATTGATAATTCTTCTCAAAATGAAACAAAAATATCAACAGTTTCGTTTAAAGTCATCATTTCGTAAGTTCTTTGGTCGATACGATAACCTTTTAGCACATACAGTTTATTATTAAGTCATCAAATGCTCACTAACGTTTTCAAACTTATTTTTTTCTGTCTGAATTGTCGATGGATTTTTCCGTTATTTTCCATAAACAAGGAGCACAAGGCGGTGTGATCGGCAGGGATGTTCACTCCTCCATGGCCCCTGATCCCACATGAATATGATGTTTTAGAGATCCGTGTTTACTCTGCTCCATAATTTGTATTGTTAAATGGACTTTTTAGCTCAATTATTGTTCGTTATCTCCATATATATTATCAAAATGGCCAGCCGATAAAAAAAATGAAATGACGTTTATTGACTTAAATGAAGATTTAGCATAGCTCTAATGAAAAGGTTGATACCGACCTCTTAAATCCTTTAAACAAATAGAAATCGCGAAAAGGGCAAAATCGCGGACTCCTTATTGACCTAGAAACATCAAGTAGCTGAAGGACTAGGCAGCTCCTCTCAATTGTTCACACTCACCGTCATCTCCCTGTATTGACAGTTTAAACGGAAAAATCCGTAATAAGTGTAAAACAATGGCCAAGCAATTAATATTAGTATGTATTAATAAATTAACGATAATTCTAAGAAATTTTGATATAAAATTGAACTAACAGTTGTGTACAAAAGTTTGGGTTTTTTTTGTATGAATTTTTTAAAATACTATTTGATTTTCCAAACAAACTACAATCTTGCTGGCTTTTTGAAGAATAGATACTAAAAAAGAAAGTTTTTAGCAAAAAATCAGTAGAAATAAAGTGTTTATGTCTCTTAGTATATTGCCCAAACGTTGTATTTATATACTATAAGACTGCTTTCAGCTATCTGAATATTTTAAAAAAAAAATGAAGGGATTTTTTTTTAATTGTATTAAAAAATTAATGATTTTTTCACAGATTCTAGAAGAGAGTATCAGTAAGTGATGGTTTCAAGTAAATTGAATTTGGCCGTTTTGTTTTAGATACATGGTCAGCTTGATATTGAGATTTAAACGTTAATGCTGCCAATCATTTGATGCCAAATTCAAGTTCAAAAGAGTAAAAGTTGTAAAATAATAAAAAAAAAAAAAAAGTAAAATTTCCTAAAATCATAAAAGGGTTTTATAACGCAAGGTTTATCAAATAATACTATCAAATGAAATAAATATTTCAAAGTAATCTAGATGTTTTTATGTATTTCATATGTTGTATATTTAATGTCATTTTTATTTTTTCCAGATGTTGAAGTAGTCATAAGATGATACAAAATGATTCAAAAACAAAACATTTTGACCATTAGATGAGAGAGTGAAACACTTTTTACGTATCAGATTTTTTTATTAGACCGAAAGCCATTAATAGATAATAAGGCTGTTGTTTCTTTAGAAGATTAAATTTATTACATTTATTTTTAAATGTTAGTTATTTATTTTTTCACTTCTAAACTCACGTTTATCCTTTGTTGAAATCTTTTCAATTTAATTAAATATTTAGATAAGGAGATAACGATCATAGGCACTTATGTCTGCTGTTCAATCCAATAATACAAATATTCCGAAAATTAAATGAAATTTGGAATAGCCAACATCGATATCTGATGTTGAATGTCTGGTTATATTTTTCACCAAATCTCTTTTTGATCCATGGATAAAAAAGAGAAGAATGTTTTCCCCTTAATAAGTCATCTTCAAAGTGTCAATATTTAGACTGACGAGACAATAATCATTTGAAACAAAATTTAAAAATAAATTTTTAAAAAGGATAGCAAATGATTTAATTTGGATGGGTAGGAAATAAAACTAATAAAAATGTTTCTCCTAATCTTAATGTGAATAAAAAATAAAAACAAATAAAACTTCAGATCATTTGAATATTTTCATTAACTTTGATCTTTCACATAATATAAACAAACTAAATGTAACAGGTAGGATGCATATGTTTTGAAGTAACAATAGTGCTCTGGAAAATGGAAAACAGGAATTTATGTTTCACTTTGAAAATTAAAGCTTATGGTATACAGTATAATTTACCATGCATTTATATATAAACTTTTAATTCTGTGTAATAAATGAAAATGGTGGATAAGCACTTATGCTGTCACAAACATTTAATTTACAAAAGTAATTCCCCTCTCTCACTTTCTCTCTCTCTCTCTCTCTCTCTCTCTCTTGCATTGATGAGAGTTCTACTGCAATTATTTTCCATTATCTTTTGCTCTGCTGTCTGTCTCACTTTATTTTTCTTTGAATAATTTGTCTCCTCCAGTACCCTGGTTTTATATATTGAAGTGAATGTTTCTCAACACTTTCCTCAATGTTTTTCTTCTTCGAGAGATTCCACATTCTTGAGCTTCCCTTAAGGGTAAGTTATGCTGAGTTTTATGTGAAATATCCATGTTTTTGGACTGTGTCCTCAGAACAGGTTTGGCATAATGCTGTGAATATTGTCCCCTGCATTCTGAGAGGCTTGATATGATCACACTACTTTAACACTGATGTTATTCATGTTTGTATCATCACTACTTTCCTTTTCTTTATCTGCAGTAACTTTAACTTCTACCTATTTAAATATGAAATATACAAACTTTTAACAAGCACTATTACGTCAAAAAAACAGTGTGACAAAAGTAGATTCGCTAGTTCATGAAAAGGTAATGATTGCATCAATGTTAGTATAAAGCAAATGTGCAGATAAGAGATGTTCACTACAAAATTCAAACTTGGATTTTTCAAGATGAATGGTAAAATGGTTTGGAAATCTGTCGTTTTATGGAAATTTGACAATTCCATTTTCATTTTTTTCCCAACATATTTCCATTCAAACTATTCAATTGCCAAAGATTTTCTTAAATGGAAAATAATTCATTTTAAAGAAGTTGAACTTATTTTAAATTCAGTTGCATTATCGTTTCGTTGTTGAACCTTGCATGTAAATTGCAGATTTAATTATTCCTTTAAGTTATGTCTTTCTGATTTTTGAATTCCCTTTGCAGTTAAATATAAGAAGTCCTGTAAGTTCCAAGGTAAAACTGTGTACCTTAATTGAATATTTACAGTGGCCTTTGGGAATATGTAGGTCTGCCCATTTTTTCTATTAACTGATTATTAATACTATTGTAAGGAGAAGGTCCAAAATATACAGTCTGTCTGTCTTAAATGATAGCATGTATGTATTCAATACTAAATAAAGATCATTTATGTATAAAAGAAACTTTACTACTACAAATAATTTCAACCATATCATACATGATAAATTCATATTTCTTTTGCACATAGTGTGTATGTCAAATTGAATATTAACCAACAAACCTCAATCATGTTGAAATTGACGTTGACACGAGGCGTTTCCATGACGAGGGCCCGGAAGTCCCACATAAAGGTGAGGGCGAACGTGAGGACAGATGTCGCCACTAGCCATTCTGAGATCGTCGACGCTAGATACACTCCTCGTAGAGATGTCTGTATGAAATGAAGAGATCTTGATTCAGTGTAATTATGTAATCTTACTAGCATATCTGTAATGTATATATGATCTTTCTCGACATTGTTTTCTATTATAGAAGCCTTTGTATGTTTTGTTCAGCACATGTCAGGGTATCTTACCATTTCTGTGGTCTAATCATCTTGATATTGATAAATACTTGATTAAATACTAAATTCAAGTCTTTGAGAAGAGAAGACCAAGAATTCAAGCAATTTTCTAGAGATTAATTTTTGAAAAAAAGATGTTTTGATTTGAAAGACCAAGATGAAATTTATAAAATAACATGAGATAGAAGTCAAGTCAAACCAATTAACTTGTTTACGTTCTACAAGTTTTACGATTCTTAGTAGAAATGTTAAATTGATAAAGTATCACAGAGCATTCTGACAGAATAGAAGTTGTTTCAAATCAATTCATTAGTCACATAAACAGTTTTTGCAATTTTTTACAATAAAGAGATATTCCTCATTTTACTGTTCATGGGTGGAAAATTCCCAAAAGGACAACATTCAATCAATTAATCAAGATTGGCTCAAGCTCAGTTCAGATTTCGCATTATATCTCCCTTTCACAGATATTGTATGTTCTATGTTGATTAATATATAACTTACAAATTTTGTGTCCACCAGTCCTTTCTGTAAGTCTTTGGCTTCGTTGACCTTGTAGATTATTTTTGTAATAGAAACTGTTGACATGTTAAGGATATCGGTATCTACTTGTGACTTAATTGGGTCGATCTTACAAATCATTTGGCATACATGTTGACATCTATAATTGATGGGTCAAATTAAGACTCGGAATATCTTTATTGATGACATAATCGTTTTCTTTATAAAATGATCAAGAATAGATATCTACCAGCTTCCATGAGGAAATATATATACTGTATAACTGGCGATTTTTTAATAAAAATTTCTCACCACTATTTGTGTATTGATGATTTAGATATTTTTGACACTGTATGAAATGTTATTCTAAACTGATCTAAACTTATCGTAAGACTTTCACGTAACATGAAACAATCAAAAAGTAGGATAAAGGACTGACCAAGTTATCTTAAAGCCAAGTATAAGGATACATAAAAGTAAGAACACGGAGAGTGCTATGCTGTTGACTAGCTGATACATCGCTACAGTTCGGTTCCCGTACTTTTCACTGCGTAGCTTCCACGACAATCGAGTTTGCAACCAACAGTAGGCTAGACCGAGGCCAAAGGCGAGGCCAGCCCCCACGTAGTGTGGTCCTCTTTGAACAACAGTCTGTATTAAAACAAAAAATCTACGAGTTATTTCACATAAAAAACGTAAAAAAAAAGTAAATTACTTAGGATCCTTAAAAAATCCAAATTACCTGGAAGTTGGCAACCATGCTGATTCCCAAGGCAGACAGAAATCCTAGGATGATTCCAGCGATGTTCACTTTCTGCCATCTTGCAGCATCCTGGACCTTCCTTTTCAGAAAGATTTCCTTCACGAAGAGGTACCTCACCCACACATTCATACCCACTGTAACAGATGTCCATCATTCAGAGAGAAAAACAGTCATTAAGTTTGTTTAATAAAATTAATCGGGAAATATAATGGGACAAGATTTAACAATTCATTCAAAAACAGCATGGTATGATTTTATTAAACCACAGTGATTACACATAAAATGACTTTTATGTTTGCGCAACAATGTGAATTTTAGGCTGGACGAAGCTTTGAAATACATTCTAATATTTTTTTCCATACGGCAATGGCCATGATGATGTTGAAATTGAAGGGAGACGGCATAGGAGACGGGGTACGTCAATACGTATGACTGACACTTAATACATTTTTTTTTAATTCTGGATAAATTTTAAATAAATCCTGATACTTTTAATTTTTTAAAATCAAATCAATAGAATTTATTGTTAGAATATTTATTTCTACCAAAGGACATGAACTTTTCGAACAACCCTCGTACAACAATTCTTCACCATTGATTAAAGAAATGTGCTTTTTTGATATCAGTAACAACTGTCACTTTAATGAAAATGCAACTTGGAAAATGTCTTATCTTTTGATTTGTTATCCAGTGGATTATTGATTCCACAAAATTCACTTTGAATTTTTACGAAAGTGGGTTGATATTGAATGGATAATGGAATTCCTCATTGACAACACTGTAATCTTTTTCAACCCTTTCTAAATCTACCTCAATAATTTTGAACACAGTCTTTTTCCTCATGCTTTGTTTTGCTTCTTCATAATTATGGCTACATTAATTTATTAACTGGAGCTGATGTTTTGAATTCTGCAGATTTTGAAATACACTTGCCTGCAGTTTCTCGGGGATAACCTTAAAGGTTATCAAATAAATCACATTAATAACTGAAAATAATATCAAGTTTTGCATCTTAAGAGATATTTTGAAATTCCTAAATCTCCCTGACCTGTAGAATTGTACGTTGTTACTTACATAGAACGGCGCCTATGTTGATGAGTTGTCCGAAAACACATCGTTCAGGTGCCTCTATTGCAGTATAGCTGGAAATATAATGATAAAGTAACAGACATTTAAGATAACACAGGGATCGATCTCAACATACCTACACACAATACAAATATTGAAAAAGGGCATAGCATATGGACCCTGAATATTCCAGAGGTGGAATCAAGTGAGTATCACCTGTTGACCGGTTGACCGGTCTCACCTGCCGTGTGTCTTATGTATTGATCATAAGTAGAATGAACAATTCAGTAGTCAAATTCAGTTTTTTTAAAAGAACAAAGGCATTACAATTGGTATGAAACAAGTCAGCCAAATTACGACCCAAGGACAGGTTATATTTGTTAACAAGGTCAATATTACGACCACAGAATTACCAAATACAGACTTTATTCGAGATTGTGAAAATGCTGCAACATTTAGGAAAATATTATATTCTTATTTTCTACTAAGTTTGTGTCACGAATATTGAACAATTCAAGATTTCAAGCCTAATTTTTAGATAATTTTATGTCTTTTCGCCAGTAAGTGTTAATATTTCGGACGGGGGTGTTATTTCGGACAGTCAATAAAGAGCTTTACAACTTTTTCTCTTTTGTTATTTATTATGATATTAAAACTTACTTCTGTAGATAATACATTTACAAAATGGTTTATAAAAAAAATCTTTGCGTGTTGTCAACTCAGGTCCGACTTGTTGCCATAAATAAATGACCTTCACCGACATTGCTGTGGATGACGCTACTATCCGTCTACTTTCAGTTTGACAGGCAAAATGGTGCACGGTTGAGATAATTGGTTTTCTGCTAAAAATTATTTATATAAATTATAAATGTGAATAAATTCCATTTAAATAATTATTTCCATTTACAAGATAATTCTTTATGAAATATTGAAGAAAATAATTAACCGAAATTGAGGTGTCCGGAATTACAACACCTCGCTGAGAGACGGAAAACATGACTAAAATTTGACCCATTACTGGCATTAGGCCTTTTATATATTTTGATAAACTTGCATTACTGACCATAGCTTGGGTTTTTTTTTTATTTAAAAATATTCAAAACGAACTTTTAAAATGATTGTGTTATTTTTTCATTTTTTTTAAAGTGGGGGGGGGGATGATTATGAGAGAGAGAGAGAGAGAGAGAGAAAGAGAGGGAAGATCGACTCTAAATCTGCCAGTGTAACATACCTGTACAGGTGTTCAGTGCTTAATATTTTTAAAGCCTTCTACTTACAAAGTTCACATCATTTAATATAAACAAAAAAATAAATAAATGAAAGTATCCTCTTTAATTATGCCATTCAATTTATTGTTTTAAAAAAATAAACAAACATGCAACGTAACGTCATTTAGATGTTCATTTGCAATGGGTTTCTCAGACACTATACATTTTTTTTTATGTATTACAGTTCCACAAAAATAAAAATGCCCCCCACCCCCAAATTAAATTTGAAAAAAAGTCGTTTGGAATTAAATATAAATTGAAAACGTACTTTGACCCATGGTTATACATGTATAAATTTACCTAACCACAAGGTTCTGTAGATGTTATATACACATGTACTTGGTAGGGCTAGTCTACCTGGCAAAAGATATTCAGATGGGTTTTTTTCTTTTCAAACACTTTATTATCATTTTTTATTCCCCAATATCAAGCAATATCTGACATTGAGAATATACATACTTAGCATCTGAAGCATGATTTATATCATTCATTTAAATGTCTTTTTTTTATTTTAAAACCTTAGAATTTTTTTTTTACCAGACTACGATATACGAAGTCTAGTACTTTGATGTAAAAAAAAAAAAATCAGTGTTCATTTCGGGTTTTTTTTTTTTTTTTAATAAATTTATTTTGGTTAAATAGAAAATCAATTGAAAAAAAAAATTAAAAGAAAAACCCAAGAAACAAATGTGAAGAAAGTAATAAATGAAATAATTTTATTATATATCTGCATATCATATATGTGTTTGCTACACATATTTATCCTACATATTGTTCATGCTACTTATAATTTTTGCGGCAAATACAATATTTTCTACTGAAAAGTGTTTATATTTTATTTCATACATCCCGACAAAAGCTAGTCAAAGTTCCCTGCTGTAATTAGCACGACCATCGTGTAATCTGTGTGACACAGCAGCAAGTAATACCTCTTTTACCCACTGTCCGACTTTGTAACACCGTGTGTCTGAAGTTACAACACCACTGTCCGAAGTTACAACCTCCTACCTGGTACTGTTTAAATGCGTTTACTAATGATATTATCTCAAGAAAAGAGCTGATGTACCACGAAAATAAGTAGCGGAACCTTTTCTGCATCGAACGGTGTATAGCATGCCTATATTTAGCGTTAAAACATTGCTGTGACGTCATGCCTTTGTTCTTGCGGTCTAAAAATTTACCTGTAGCCGTCCGATAATAATAATTACCAGTCTGATAATATATTATCGGATGGCAATGATAACAAAATCGGACGGTATTTAAAAACCAAAAGAAGAGTGGAATAAACTAAATATGTCCACCCTCCTAACCCCCATCCCCACCCCCACCAAAAAAAAAGGAAAAAAATCAGGGAAAGCAATCGCAAGGAAATTTAGTTGCTACAAAGTAGCAAATCCATGAAAAAATCGAGTTTAAACCATCCTCAAAATTAATACTTCCCATCTTAAAGTGTTTTTGATACAGCACTTTGAATAAGCGAATTTAAATCCATTTCTGAGAAATAATCGGCAAATCTATTTATTTTATAAGGATGTTTCTAAATGGCTGCACTTGTAAAACCTGAGAATTTCCATTATATAAACTAAAACTCTAGGATGAAAATCCGCATTTTTACTTTCCATGGTGACGGTAATAATTCCACCAAAAAAAAATCTGTATCAGGTCAATTTAATGCACAAAATAATAAAAATGTTCCAAAATAAAAAGGAAATCCTTCCCCACCGGACCCCTGTCTTGCTTATCTAAACGACTGCCATTGAATGAATGGAATGAAACAAGAGTTCACCCACTGTTTTTACTGTCTCTTTTCTTTTGTCTACTTATTAGACGGGTAAAAAACAATTGATGCCTAAACTCCCATTGTGTTATTATCGGACTCCTCCAGGTAACTTTTGGACATTTAAATGGCAATGTTTTAAGTAAGATATATGCCTCATACTATTCTATATGTAAAATTATCAGACAGTTTTCGGCCCTAACGGGCCTCAAACAGTCTGATAATTTTACATATAGAACAGTATTCGGCATATATCCATTACGTAAATGCCAAGTATATCCGAAAAAGCATTCTGAAGTGTCCGAAATATCAACACTTTCCCCTATTTTTTATATTATACATAAAGTCGTTACAACTGGAAAAACAAAATTGCTTCAAAATTTTTGATTAACTTCATCTCTCTGTGATAGAAATCGCAGAAAAAAATTGATTCTATTTGTAATTGAAAATATAATTTATATCATTAAATTACAGATGTTTTACAGTAAATTCAAGAACAGTTTTTATTACTAAGTAAAAAATCTTATTATATATTACATAAGAAAATAGTCTATTATAATATCCTTTTCAAGAAAAAAAATTTAACCATAATTTATCCCCCCCCCCCCAATGAAACTGTGATAAGCTACAAAAACTTTGAATGAGATATTGTTTGTTCAGTAAAAGCATATCAAATATCAGGGGTGCAACAAAGTAAGAGGGAAAAAAATATGATCATTTCAAAATCTTTTTTTTTTTTTTGGTATAAAAACAAAACTTGTTATTTAAATGTTTCAGACCACAACTTAAATAATTAGAAAAAAACAAATACAACCAAAAATCCAATTTCTTTCCCATACATTTATACATGTTATACATACAAGGCTTAGATTTAATTATTTATATCCCTAACACAATTTTGGTTTAAAAAAAAATATAATACATGTAATTTTATTATATATTTTTTAAAATGTTTGAGAACGAAGTGAAATTTCCTATAATTTAAACAAAATTCTATTTAAAAATATTCTGAAACCTCATGCATTTCTCTTTTCTATTGTTACTTCAGAAATTTTAACTACATGTAGAAATGTATGCACAGTTTGGGGTTCTGACTGAAAAATATGTTATGGTTAATTGAAATGTTGTTGAAAATCAATTTGCTGGTTATTATGTTAAAATTCACTTATTTACAGGACAAAACAAGCTTTAAAAAAAAAAAAAGGTAAAGTCAGATATTTCTACACACGAAATGAACCTTGTCCAGTCGTCACCTAGGGATTAATTAAAGAATAAAGCAAGAACCATGTGTTTTAATTTAGAATTGTTTGATTGATACTAAGACACCTACATTTTCACATTTAATTAACCTACACAATCGGAAGGTGGTAATTCGATGCATCATTAACTTGTTGGTTCTGTGTTAAAACATGAACGACCGAACTTAGTGTACAGGTTCAGAAAGTACAGATTCAAGAAATTCAACTTCAAGTTTGATTGACTAACCTAATTTATTTGATTTTTCTCAAACCATAACTTTACTCATAATCATATCTAACAAATACACAAATACTACACAGTGCTTGGAGGAAAAAATATGATAACTATCTCAGATTTATTTATTCCCTCTTGCATCGTTTGTTAAGGTTCCTACCTGATGTAGGGGAAATCATTTGGTTTCACAGAGCCGCTCTTAATGGAGATGCCGTACCTTTAAATTATAAAAGATACCAAAGATGTAATAAAATACTCTGGTCGTGTATCAATCTACTCATGTGCAATATTTGGAGTAAAATTCCTCCTAAACTTTAACAGAGAATTTCAAACAACAAGATGCTATTGTCAGGGTTAACTGAAGATATCAATAAAATTCAAAATGTCAGCTTCTCCTTGATGGTTTATATAAGAGTAATTTGGCAGAAGCACGTTTAGGTTGTAAAATACTTGAATTAAACAATTGAACTTTGTTAACATCTGCCTTACGATATGAAGAAAGCCATGATGATCCAGAGTGCGGTGATTAGAGGCAGCAGATATAGGCGGCGCCTAAGGAAGACCAGGCACGCGAGACTCATCACGCCGGGTAGCCGAGGGGGGTCAGGCGCGGACGTGTCGGGAGTGGAGCTCTCCTCCGTGGCTCTGAAAACAGAAATTATTTCTTAGTTTGTTAAATCGGCGAAAAGCGCCCTTGCCCCCTAGCCATACAATACATACACATACAAAATATTTAAAATGCAAAGGCTTTCTCTCAAACTTTTTATTGCTCTTGCTGACAATAGTAAAGTGATTAAGAAACCATTTATTTGTCTGATAATATAAAAATATTTATTTCCTTTATATGACCTAATTCTTATTCTCTATGCTTTTTTCTTATTTTCATGATGAAAAATGAAACCCTTTAGCAGAATAAAGTGCACTTCAAACAATTTTACATTCACGCGTTAAAAACTCGTTTTACTTTGCTAAGTACCCCTGTATTTTAGCAAGACAAAGCTAAAAATGGTCTTCATTGCAAAATATTTGCATAATGCTGTTAAATAAAATCTTTTTAAAAACATATACATGTATATTTCAACTTTAGGAACCAGACAAATCTATTGTGATATAAAATCCGTCAGAACCCCCAAAATATTGATCTCTCTCATGGTGAATTTTTACCACTATGTACACCATATATAAATATTGAAAATATCATTATTATTTATTTTATAAAATCAATTTGTGCTTAAGAATACATTCATCGATTGAAATTCAAAAACACGGCCAATAAGACGTGAACGTTGTCGCGTCTGGCAGTATACCTGACGATCACGTGTCCCGTTTTTTCCGAGCCACCGGCAAGAAAAGACAGCAATAATTACCAATAAGTGTCCAATTTATTCTGCCCTACTAAAAGGAATATTTTATTCTGCATATAGAACCCATCAACAGTTTCCGTTACGGTAAAAATATCCATAAAACGGAACTCTGTACACTAAAGTGACCAATACAAATTCGGAAACTGAACATATTGAAAACACAACAATTTGAAATTCAATTAGAAAAGAAATCAACTATACTATTATCAATAAATAAATGGAACACATGTACAATCCATGATTTTCTAGCTCATCGAACATATATAGTGTAATGGTTTATGAAGTTTACAGGCCAGCTGTTCTCTCGATCTGACACCGCGGCAGACCATTAGAAGTCAGGACACAGCTTCTGGGAGGAGCACCAAATTAACCCCAGAGTCTGTCAGTGCCCCCAGAACAAAGGAAAATTCAACTTAATGGACGCTCGATCATATGTACCAAGATCGTCAATTCTATATTACATTTCATCTTCAATCCTGCAGCGAGTATTTTCTTAAAGCAGGAAAAAAGAGTTTGGGAGCACAGGAACTTGTTTCTGAAATAACTTTTTGACCCATAGTATAATAATAAAACACTAATTGGTCAAAAATATATTACAGAAACGAGTGCTTGTGTTTGGGAGTGCAGTATTTGTGCTTTTGTTAATGCCAATTATAAAATATAACAATAAATTCTATTCATTATTTGATTTTTTTTTTTTTGTGATACATCTTAATGCAATATGGTTTATTTTTCCTTTCCTCTAAGATTTTTTTGTAAAACTTAATCATGTATGAATTTGATTTTTTGAAAGATTATTTGAAAATTGCATACACTTAATAATGTTTTTAACATAATTATGTAAATCATTAATAAGACTACAACAATTTTAAGATATTTAAGACTCCGTCGAAAGCTTACCTCCCTTAAGCAGTTAAATCCTAAGTGAAATTTAGATTTTAAGATTTCATAAGACATACACAAACTTAGGTTCATTCATTCATCTCCAGCCCACGGACAAAGAATCCTCTCATTGTCAGTCAATCACACAGACACGAGTTCGATCTTTCATCCGATAAATCACTGAAAGTCAATAATCATTAAATGACAAGTGTTAATGACTTTAGCACATCTGAATAGACAGTTCGGTTGTCAGAACTAAAGACTTGGCACACAGTCCGACCATGGAAGTGACCGTTTAACACACAGATGACGAAACTGGTTACTTCTTTCCCGGAATGTCTACCAAGCACAGTCCTTAATTACAAAGAGGCACCGGACTGTTTATGGAAAGCTTTCAGGTATGGCTGCTGCTTATATATCAACGCTTCGAATCCTAATGCTGGGAAGCGCAGGCTCTTGGGAAAATTAGAGGCACAGAGGAAAAAATCAGAAACGTTGCCTCCCTAACCTGATGGCGTTTTCGTGGGGGTCTGGTGTAAAAGAGGTGTATCATCAGCAGATGTAGCCAGCAGAAAATTCTCACGGACTCGACACGCCCCTCTTTAACGAGTTTAATAAAATCAGCTATCGTGTTCATACTGGCAAACTAAGGGAGATAAATGGCTGGACTCGGTAAGAATAGATATTCTACAGAAACTTTCGTTGTACTCACTTTGGTATCAAAAGAGAGATTATACGAAAAATAAATCTGAATGTCAGGACGTTTTCTCGTCAGAATAAATTGTACTTCTACACACCAATGTTAACTATGGAGCGAGTGTTGTGTGTAAAAAATGAATAAAAAATGCCTTAGCGACAAGATGACAGTCACCGCAGGAGATAAAAATTACAAATTTATATATAAACAATAACAGAATCTACCAAAGTAACACAGGGATTGATCCCAGAGAAGATGCCATGCGGTTTGCACACTTGAAATTAATTGAGCTCACAAGTGGCGCATATACTGACACGATAAGAGAAAAGTAGTCACTCAGCAATCAAATCGATCATCAGATTTTGATAAATATTAAATATTTCATTGAGCTTGATGTTTAAAAAATAAATCTTCAAATGTAAATTGTCGGGTTCACCATCCTAATCCCACCTCCTTCCCTGGTCATTGCGGGTTACAGGGGCAAGATGAATTTAGTGCAGAGTATCTGAACATTTATTGCATTTCCATGCTTTGTGTGAATTAACATTACAATTATTATATATATAAGTTTATCTTTTTTTCCGTTTCATTGATAAAATCTGAACTGTATGTTTCCTTCTTTCATGGACAAATTGTGAAGAAAAAATTCAATTAATTTGATACTAAGTACATATATTTTACAATAATTTATTCACACAGTATACGTGTAGAATTGGCATATAGATAGATAGTGATTTCCCACTCTTTTTAAGCACTGTATCTTGTTGCGGTAAACTTTCTGCACATCACTTCAAAATCTTGTGTGGTATTATCGAAGTTTAATGTCGTGGAATGAACTTCCACCCATCCATAGCTGGAAACCCTGTTCCCCCATGAAGCGAGCATGAGGGGGACAGGTGAAAACATGGGAGTCAGATTCTGGTCGTACGGCGAAATTAATCGACCAGAAACAATTCACACGCTGCAGTGTTAAATATTCATTGATAAACATATCTGAAGAAAATACAATTATACAGGTGGGAACTGAATTAATCTTAAAATTTTAAAATAATTCATTTTACTAAAAAATGTGAGCTAGGAGGGTTCCTTTCTTTATCGACTCTACATTTTTTTTAATTTGTAAATCTTTTATTCACTGTATTATGGAACATGTAACACTTCGCTAAAAGTGAAATTACCTGTTTATTTAATTTTTATTTTCGAAAAACACAAAATCATCATACATCTTGAAGTTTATTTTCCGACTGTAATTTTGAACTCTTCAACCAATTCACAAATTCAACACTTCTTTGAAACTCAAGACAGTAATTAACATATACAAATAAAATGGGTCAGGTAAACAGAGAACTAGAGAGATCCTATAGAAAACTCACCCGCCGCAGAAAACTCCATGAATTGACCAAGGTAGCTTCATTTAAAATTGTTCTTCTCTCTGGAGTTGCTTATCAATGCAACTACTATTTCAATTTTGTAAACAGTTTTTAAATCGACGTATTTCAAAGAGTGAATAAGACACAAGAATGGGACACATTCCGTGACAAAATAAGACAAAGGATAGGATATGTTTTTGTAAATACATATCATATCAATGGAATTTTACATATGTGTTAGAACATAATAAAACAACATTATCAAAACATGAATCTAATGTTTTTATTAACGAACGCATGAGTAATGATGGAATGAGTGGTCAGTTACTGGTCAATTACTTGTCAGTTAATGGTCAGCGGACAGAGGAGGAGATCCTCCAGGTATTATTGCATTCTTACAGGATTTATAAACTTCATCGCATTAACCTTAAAATAACTAAGACGCAACCCTATGAACGTTTAAACAAGATTAAATGGACAAAAGTTCACACATTGATTACAAACGATCGATCTGTAACCTTTACATTATTTGTTTTTACTGCGCCCGTTCCGGGATTGTTCGGATATTCCGGACAGATGCCCGCGGACAGGTGCCCCCTGACTTACGAGTTTTACGTACCGTAAAGGCTTAGCTTCCTCTCCTTCCGACATGTCTGTTTTCATATCTCACAGTTATTACACCTGGTTCTGAAGTTTAAATGTTACAAGGTATTTCCCATGAGAATAAATAAAAGTATGTCACTGTTTGGGGCCCTTTGTTTGGGGCCACCCAGCGGGGTATTTGTTTAGCTCCCGATTGAAGTGCTCCGGAACCTCCTTATCCCTAAATAAAAGGCAGAGGAGGACGAAAAGTGAGCCCTCTTATCCTAACCATCAGTGTAAGCTTACATTTATCGTGTTAACTTAAAAAAATCTTACTTGAACCTTTAGATGTTTCGACAGATATTCAGATATACAGTGTATGAAGGGATGAAAATATATTGCAAAAGCTTTAAGTAAGCTTTATTCAGGATTTTTTCCTCAATGCAAATGACTCCTTAAATGCTATAGGGTTACATTTTCTTTTTAAATGGCAATCTGTTTTACGAAAAACGATATGGCTACAAAAAACGTCATATTGTTCAGTTGTATAATATGACTATGGTACATATCTATGAAATACGATAAGCAATTTTTACAGCGTCGCAGCATTGTTAAGGCTTGAATAAGGGGGCGGGGCCTAATTTATACAGGAAAAGTTTACTATAACGTCACACAAAAATATGACTTTTATGTATTTCTCATTATACATGAAAATGAAATAGTTTGTAATTTTTAACTTTATTTGCATAATAAACAACAATAATTCTTATCAATGCGTTTAAAAAACTTGCAAATTAAATCTCATGTAGCTAGTTATAGAGAAAGCACTGATCGCTCTGAACTTGTAAACATGACGTCATTTTGGTAAAAATGACGTATTTCATGTGCTGTGAGAGGCAGATTGAGGAATTTTTTAACAATGAAAGATGCGTTTTATTATTAAACGGAATATTATTTACAGGTTTTATATAGTCAATTAATACCAATTCATATGCTTTGTATAGTGCGATTATTAATTAACTGTCAAGAGAATGCATTTTATTAATTATGTCGTGTTTTTATGTACGGGTTACGTATATTTTACATCGAAATGCCTCATAAAATCGTACTTTCGCACGGGCATACACTAAATAGATCTAAACCATTTTTTGAATATAGACAAAGGATCTTTTCCTTAACTTGAAAAGTGATGCTGCTTTCTTTAACTCGAGGGCGTGATTTTATAAGTACACAAAATATTTGGTAAAAGTCAAACATATTTCGACATTTGCTTATTTGCCTGAAAATTTAACTATTAAAACGCGAATTCTATTCAAAGCAGCAGCACTTTTCAGAAACTACAAAGTATGCAGAAACAATTAATAGCTTGAATTTTTAATTTCAAGTAGGGTATGCCCTTGCGATATTGAAATTTGTTCATGACCTACATTCAGTACACGAACTATGCATTCATCACGTGACTGTCCATCGATAGGACCAAACTTCATACAGTACAGAGTGGGTTATGCTATGCTATTTCCATAAGTATTTGTGTTCTGTGATAATAAAAGAGCTTAATTAAAATAAATTCAGTTTTAAAAAGGTCCCCCTTTTTTGCACGTCTATTTTCCGTTGATTTCTCATAGTAGGCCTTAACAGTGCTGCGGTAGAAAAAATGAATGATTTTACTTTTCAATTTGTGAAAAATATATCAGTTGAAGGAACTTGTTATCTTTATCAGATAAGCCAGTAGAGGCGAGCAATAAAACTGTATTAAACTGCCTGCAGGGCAATAACTACATATCAACCTGTCTCAAAGGCTACTATACGTTCACTGAAACACTGCAGCTATTATTCTATGATAAAACAGTAATATAGGATCACTTAGAACATATGACTCTTGTTTAGGTTAATTATACATGTACGTTAAATTGCAAATGCTATAGTTTTAAGTGTCATTAAATGTTTATTTATTATTTGTTGTCTCCCTTGTAAACTCTCTTGTCGTTAAGAGGGCGGATATTCCGGATTATTTGAAGTGAGAATAAACAGAAATAACCGGGAAGCAGAAAGTGATGACAAGTGTCTCAAGAATTTATTACATATTCTACATTTTACTTCAAGTTCATCAGACGACAAAGGCATGTTGCATACATCTTGTTCATGATATTTTTATTCATATGTATATGCATCCTCAAAATTAAATTTTCATCTATTCTAATACTTATTAAACTGTATATGTTTTTGAAAAAAAAGTTTACTACAAAAAATTGTTCCCAACTGAAATGCTCTCCAATTAAATCAAACAGTACTCATATCTAAAAATCAAGTCTTTGTGTGAACGCTAGAGCTATTAAAATGAATATAAAACTGAACTCAGTTTATGCTGAGAACGGACGGTTCCTGATCAATTTATCATGAGATTAACTTGTATCAGAAATGCAGGCTTTTACATTCAAGATTCCGTCAAGTTACCAAAATGAGAAATTCATGCCATAAATATTTGACAATCGTCACATCACAACTGTTTCTGCATACTGAAACCTTACATGTATGTATAATATTAAGGTTTCGTCAAGTTTCCGCAATGCGGTAATCTCAGTAAGGCTACTACTTGTATATCCGATTTAACGGTTAAGGCAAACCAGGACCTTACAAATTCTTCATCCTTTTGATCAAGTTTAAACTATGGAAATTATTTGGATTTTTCGACATCCTTAACAGTAACATT